TCTGCGAGCGCATCGTCCAAAGTTGAGCTCGGTCTTTCGAAATTTTGCTGCGTAGCTCTGACGAGCGCCTCTGCTCTCTCAATGAACCAGATCAGAGCGTCCTTGTAGTCTTTATTAGATTGGCAGTCGACGACAAGCTGGCGGGCGGAATGCGCCCCCCTACGTCAGCTACGCTGCACGCGCGTCGAGTCGTCTGATCATGCACGACGCACCTTTCTCAACCGTCTGACCAGCTTTTCCTTTCTCTCTGGCGTCCACGCAGCTTGGAGATTCTGTTTTGCAGCGATTCCCGTGCCCTTCACCATCTCCTCCACTTTCTGTCTGTCGGTCAAACGAGCTTTGCGGCTGGCGACAGCGATGAGCTGAGCAGCATCGACCAAATCGGTAGGATCGATCCATCCTTGCTCGCCCGGACTACCCAGCAAAGCTTTCTGCAGATCCGTAGGAATCTTGCCATTCGATACGTCTTGCTTCATCGATTCGAGCTGTGCGGGCGTACTGGCTACCTCTGCAGCCACGCGCAACAGGCTAGCTTGCAACGCGTCCAACGAAGGGATTGACTCTGCATTGGACAGCTCTGCTCTGATATCCGCCACGCTCGTCATCTTTCGAGCTCCTCTGTACTCTTTCAGCTGCTCACGCAAAGCCTGCAAAGCCGGAACGCCCGAAGCATCCACCTTTCTACCCGCAGCATCCGTTACTCGTCCAAGCAGTCCGCTCTTCAACGCCTTTGTCTCCTCGCTCGCCTGATCAGCCGTATCAGCAGCTGCTGCTGCTGCTTTGCCCACTTTCGCCTGGGCCAGAGCTCTGAAGGCCACATTCTGAAATGTGCCCGTCGCCGATTTGACTTGGCCCATGGTTGCCCTGGCCTCATCTAGAGAAGTGCCGGTAGTGCTCTGAAGCACTTCGGCCAGCAGCAGGGCTCCGTCCGAGATAATGTGACGTAGCTCTGGCTGGACGAGCAAGAGTCGTGCCAGTGTGCGCAAGTGCTTGAAAGCTGCACGTCGTGGGTGGGGGTGGGCAGAGAAAGAGGAAGAGGAAGAGGAAGAGGAAGAGGAAGAGGAAGAGGAAGAGGAAGAGGAAGAGGAAG